TAAAATTATAAACACTTTTGAATTATAATAGTAGCATCTTTTGCTAAGCTTTTTGAGTTAGTTCAAAATTAGATAAATAGGTTGTTGTTATAGAAGTGAAAATTAGTATAGTTAGTGATTTTGGTTGCAATAATACAGGCAATGTGAATATTATTATAATAACAATAATTCTGCCAAGCTTTTCTTTTAGTTACTGTATTAAACCTTTAATATTATATGCACAGATCTTTAGATAAAGGTCATATAAAGATTGTGTTAATATAGATGCTTGTAATATAAGATAATTGTTAATAAATAGGTCAGATAGAATAAAATAGAGTTGGAAGAATTTGATCTAAAAGAAAGATTATAAAAGATAAAAAAAAGATAAAGAGTAAATAACAGTATGATTAAGCAAAAAAAAGTTATTTGAAAAATATATATAGGTTTCATAATAAGTGTTGATAACAGAAAAAGTAATGTTAGAGACAGTGTTATTATAGTTATATTTGTCAATATGTTGTATATAGTTTGGCTATAAGAAAGAAGTAATAGGTTGTAGTAAAGAAGAAATTTGGTAAAACATGTGTAAAAATCATAAGAGCTTAAAGATATTGAGAATAATCTTCTGATATTGTTTTCTACAGGGTTGATTACCATATGCTCAACTCTTACAGCTGTGCAAGGTACTATAATCTGCTCTGTATGTTGGGTCTAACTGTTATTATTCTGGCCTTTCATATATAAAGACTTGACTACCTGCCTTTATATATTATCCTTCTTACTAGCTACAAGCAGTTGCATCTTTTAGTAAGATGACAGCTGCATTTATATATTTGTAGAAAATGATCAGTTTGTATATATTTTTGTTTATTGTTTATATAATGATAATAATAAATAAACTATGCAGTTTCCATTCTATATATTTATATTAATCCTTATATAGTTTTATCTTATGTTTATACTAACTATTTTACAATGTTCAAAGGTACATCTATATATATTAGCTTGTATTTTTCCATATTTCTAATTAGAAACTCCTGCAGTTATAAGCTTTTCAGATATTTGGAACTTTTTAAATGATCTTTCTAATTAGTATTCTTGTAAATTTCTCTACACAAATCTACTGTAATCTAATATGAATTATTTTGTATTTACACTGACTATTTTACAATGTTTAGGAGTATATCTATATACATCAGCTTGTATTTCTTCATATTCCTAATCAGAAACTCTCTGCAATTATTAGTTTTTGAATATAAATATTATAACATAGATTACTGCAGATCTGTTATTAACTTTACTTGGTTTTGTATTACAAATTACAGTCAATAAGCCAACATTTCTAATTAAGTTAATATACCAATTAAGATATTCAAGGTTTTTATCATTCAATATTCATTCCTGTTAGGAATTAAATCTTAGATCTTGTTATTTAGAATGCAATAATTTAATTATTTTACTAAGTTGCCATATTCTAAATAATTTATTTATTAAATACTCTTTTATTTATAATTTTTATTATTTTTTTAAATTAGAACAGTAATAATTAACATCAAAAAATTTTATATGTTTTATATATTTTATGTTTCTATATTACTAAATTGCTTGCATGCTTAAATGATTAAATTAATTTGATTAAGCTTTTAGATATTTTTTATTATACTTAAGTTGTATTCATTTTTTTATTATTATATAATTATTACTTTAATAAGTTTTAATTTACTTATATTTTTGATTAGCTGTTTAATACTTATTTTATTACTATTAAAGATTGTACTTTATAGCAATTATTTTATTAATATATATAAATGATAAAAAAGGAAAACCTGTAAATCATTTTACTTATTAAATGAGATGATTTATAGGTTTTCTCTTTTCGTTATTCATATGGTATTAGTTTACAACTATTTTTATAAAGATAAGATAGAAGCCTGCAAATTACTTATTTTTGTAATCTAAACTAGTTTATATTTAGAGTTAAAATTTTTTTGCTAACTTGGCCTAGTCTGCATATATTAAAGTTTTCTTTAGCCTAGTCTGATTTGCAAAATTTATTATATAATTTTAAAAAATTTTTAGTTTGGTTTAGTTTATAATTATAAATTTTATTTTAGGTCTGGTCTGGTTTGCAAAATTTGTAAGCTGAGTTAGGCCAAGCTATAAGACTCAATGCAGATTTTTAAGATAAGAGTATAGCTAGTCATATATACAAATTTTCAATTACCTATTTTAAGTAGTTCATTTAAAAGTTTTATATTAGATGCAATATCTATAATTTACTAAAAGATTATTTATTTAAACTCTTTAATTATTTGTCTCATTAATTATTTAATGCTACAAAACTTTATATATACTTAACTAATATATTGTCTAAGCAGCATTGTATTTTTTTTTTAAACTAGTTTCTAGATTATTATATATTTCAGAATATAATACTTGCTAATAAGACTTAGAGAACTCATTTTGTTAACTACTACTTATTTGCTCTATAGGCTATTAACAATAGTTTGAACTTATAAGTTTATCTGTACTTCAGTACCTACTTACAGCATATCTCTAGCATTTTAGTATACTTTTACTTTGTTTTTAAACTTTTAATTTAGATAGCTCAAAAGAACTATGATCTATCTTTAATATATTGAGTCTAATTTAATATTTTTTTCTTTTAGTTTGATCTAAAAGTCTTATTGGTAGTATATTTATCTAAAGGTTCTTGGTTAGTTGATTTTTTTTACATTGGTATTCATTTTTTAGATTTAGTTTTTATATTAATATTATTGAAGAACTGTTATTTTTATATTCAGATCTTTCTAAATAGACTTCAGTTTTTTTCAGTTCTACAAATTTACATAATTACAAAAACTTATTTTAGGTTTGCATAATTTGGTACCAGTTTGCATTTCTTTGTATAACTAAAATTACACAAATAATAACTATACTAATATAATTATAGTTACAAGTATCTTATCTTAACTGATTAACAGAATATTATTATTATAATAATATCTATATATTACATAAGTAATTGTTAAAATTTTTTTTTAATATTAATAAGTTTTGTGCTTACAATCTATCACTTTGATGTTAATAACTTATTTATTTTATTAAGTTATTAACTTTTTGTTTAATATTGTTTTTTTTTGATATTAAGATAATCTTCTTAATCTTTTAATTTTTATTAATAATTTTTTTAGTAATTTGATTCTATGAACTATTACAAAAAGAGTATACAATTGGCTATACATGTAATTTTTTTATATTACCTATTTAAGAAGTTTGCCTGATACTGAGGTTTAAATAAACTTTGCTCTATTAAAGTCTGTAAAATAAATAGGTAAATTAACAAGAAGATCCTTTAAGTCTTACTAATATGTAACAAACTTTGGTGTTATAACCTAAGCAATAGTACAAAAAAATATAAAAACAAACCTAGATAACCTTTAATATAAGACAGTACAAGATCACTTGTCTTAGAGTAAAATAGTTAAAGTTATACAGATACTAATTAGATAAATCATAGAGTTTAAATAGAATATTTACAAGCAAAAATAAGATACAATAGATAGTAGATAACCTTAGAACAATATCTTTAAATAAACAATGATTAAAGTTGTATATATGACTAACTGTATTCTTATGAACTATAAATATACTTAAAATATTATTAACTAATAAAATTGCCAGTTTAGCTGAGCAATTGACCACTCATTTAATAATAAAAAATAAATAAAATAAAAAATAAAAAATCATAAAACTAAATTTATATTTTTAGTACAAGATTTTAAAAAAAAAGATAAGTTTATTTTAATTGAAACTTTTAATTAGCTCTATATAGTAATAAAGCTACTTTTTAAAATAGTTTATCTAAATTATTCCATTATTATATAAAAATTAATAATTAATAAATATTTAAAAGTAACTTTATTACTATGTAGAACTAGTTAAATGCTTAAAATTAAAAAAATATTACATATACATTTATTAGATACTTGTATTAAAAATACAAATTTAATTTATAAAAAATTTAAAATTAGTAAGTTTCATATGTTACCTTGATTTATTAGTTAAGCTATCATATTTAATATAAAATCTTATTTATTTATTCAAGATTAATTAACTTGAATAAATATTTATTTAAAATTATAGTTTCTATTACATAAATAATGTATCATTATAATCAAATACACTGCACTAAGAACTAACTCCTTTTAAGCAACTCAAGCACTTAGTTTATATTAATATTTAAATATTATACATAGTCTTCATTAATAAACCTGATTTTTGGTCTTATTGCAGTTTGCTTTATTATCATTATTGCTTAATTGATATAGGGAATAATGATTCCAGTATTTAGTAGTAAAAAACAAATTAATTCAACAATTGATATATTATGTGATTAAAATAGTAATGCACAAAAAATGATTAATAAAATTACTGAATTGAACTGTTTATTGTAACAAAATTATTTGATTTTATCACTTAAAAGAATTTGAAAAAATTAACTGTTGGTGATTTAAAATAGTCCGCGTAAATATTGAACATTATAAATTTACCTACCTAAACAGATAAAACACTGTTAATATCATATTATTCTTTAAATTATATGAAAATCTATAAGAATAAACTATATGTTAATTGTTTTCATATTTAAATTTTATTACAAAATCATCTGATTTTAATCTTGTAAAACGGGCTTAAAATTTAAAATGGCCCACGTAAATATCGAACATTATAAAAATTTTCCTAAATAGATAATTATTAATTCTAAATCAAAGGATTACATTAGTTAAATTATGTGCTTGTCTGAAGCGTGGTTACTATAAATACCCTTATAAAGATCTTTTTATAGTACCTAGCACTGTATTTATTACTTTCCTGTTCCTGGTTTATGCGACAACGTTACGCAGCTATTTTTAATATACACATAATTACGTATAACTAAAAACTAATCATAATATTATACCTAAATTTGATTTTTCACCAGAAAATAATAATAGAACCTTTCTATTATTACTTTCTTAAACATCATTTTCTTCACTTTCTAACTGAAGATTATCGGTAATGTAATTTTCATATAAAGATTCATTCTCAGTACCAAAAAAATTAAATAATTTTAATATAATGTCATTCAATAAAGCAATAGAACTAGTTAATAAAGTCAAAAATGGAATTGTTGTATATTCGACAGTATTAAAATAAAATAAAACCTAAAATAAAAAAGGATTTAAATTAAAATTTAAAAAGGTTTTAATTATTTAATGGCATACGATATAAACAAACCTGTATAATTAGTTGTGGAATAATTTCAATAAAAGTATTAACTATAGTCACCCAATATATCCATCGTTTAACGGAATTTGAAAGTGATGCATTAAATATTGAGAATCCGGCAAAATTTGAAGTTAAAAATTCTAGTAAAACTACATTTGCACCTGAACATATAGTGAATAATGAAATAGTGCTTTTATATCTATTAAACCATTTAATGAATGTCCTGTTTGTCTTTAATTCATAAATTATAAATATCATTGCAGAAATCAAATTAAATGTTTTTGAAAAAACTAGTATTATAATACTTTTTATAAATAGGAATATAAAGAGAAGATTAACATTTATGATTAGTATTTTTTAATATTTAATTATGTACAGTTTAATATCGATATATACCCTCATTATATAACGGATTCTGCTAATGCGAATCCCTTACAATAGTAACGTTACCCCAAATAAATCAAATTATTATGAAAATTTTGATAACATTATATGATATGAATATTATCAAATGAAACCAAAAAACTTTAAAGATTTCCAGATTTTTATTTGTAAATATTCATATGTTTAGGTGTATTTATACCGAGATTGTTTTATTGTAAATTTTATAACTAACCTGGGTATATAAAGATTCGGTTGTGAAACATCTCTTCCATTTATTGCAATAAATAAAACATCCATAATAAAATCAAACAAAATAATTATTACACTAAGTATCATAAAGTTTTGTCCCTAGATATACGTTCATAAATTAAACAATTTGAATTTTATCTTTCAAGTTAAATTGGCATAAATCTTATTTTAAATAGTATATTTAAAATCATTTTAATATTACCTCAGGATATTTATAACGAGCCCACAAAATAATGGGAGTTAAAACAATGAATCCAATTAATAATCCGAGTAATTTGAATTTAATTTCATCCCATAAATTTACTAAATTTATTATATGTAAAAAAGATTTATTAGGGAGTATTTTTTGATGTTAAAATATAAATTTAAAATAACTCACTGTTCACTTTGAATCCATATGTAGAATCCAAATACTTTGTATAATTATTACTTTTATATATTACTGTATTTTCATCTTTTATTAATTCATTTGTGTAATCAATTATTTTAGCAACGCTAGTTTGACAAGTATCTGTAGGATCTGTAGCTTTCAAAATTTTTACTTGTATTAAATATTGAGAAGGCGATGATACATCTTTTTGAAATCGATTTGTATGCTGTATTCGGTTTGGAGTTGTAGGAATACTTTTTACAAGTTCTTCCGTTAAGTTGTTAAGAAAGCTTAAATCGATTGTTACATTGTTCTCAAGTCTTAACAGTATAGTACCTATAGTTGTATCTTTATAAATAATTAAATCTAAATATTATATTTAAAGGTACATATAGACTTGCTGCATATTAAATAATTTATCATTTACCTGAAAATTTTTCTTGAAAACTTCCTATTACTACAATATATAAGGTATTGTTAATCAGCTGTGAAATTTATTACTTGCATTTCTGCATTTAAGACAGTAAAGTTATAATAAACGTGCTTACGTGGGTCACATGTAATTGATTTAAAAGTCAATTGATTTTTGTCAATACCATACTCAGAAATACCATACATAGGCTCATTTGTCGAGTCAAACGTAACAAAGTTATTATCCATTGTAATTTTATACGTAGTATTCCATTGATTAAAAATACTTGATGTGACATTACATGAAAGATTTTTTTGTATAATATTGCATTCTGAAATCGAATAAAATTTTCTGAATATTAATTCATTGGTGTTTGCATTAAGGTAATAGATAATAAGCTTCTTCGAAGAGTTCCAGGATCTAGAAATGTTGCTTGAAAAAGTTATGTTGATAGAATCGACATTTCCTGGTAAGATAGTTTCATTAATCTGGGGATATGTTGAAATAATATTCGGATTTTTATAATCATCTAATATATTTAATATAGTATTAAATTCATTAAATAATCTAGATTGAAATTTGAAAAATAAACCAAAAAAAATAAACCAAATTATTAGGCACTTACTGTAATTACTGTAATTTCTCAAATTTATACTAATGATTTCCCATCTATTAGAAGTATAATTTACGTACAATATAAAAGTATCATTTCTCATTAAATTAAATACTGCACTTCGAAAAGTCTGATTTTGCGGATCAAGTTTAGTTAATTGAGACAAGTTCCATGATATAATTTCGGTGCCATTAGCCATAAAAATAATTCCATTCATACTTTGGTATTCTCTTGATGGATTGTATGGAATATAATCATCATAACTATCGTATCTAGAAGCATAAACATCAACAGGTATTGATGCCCAATTAGTTACAATGTATCCACCAAAAAATGAAGGTTTGATATCGAACAGCAAGGTATAAGGTTTAAGAACTGAACTAATATTTATAAGTTTAAATTTAATTACAGAGCCAGAAGACAAAAAATTAATTTGATATGTCGTAAATTGTGAATAATTGCCAACTTCAGTCTGTTCTGTAAACACGCATACATTTCCATGTTCACTATAATCTGACGAACATGAAATATTTGCTATTTCACTATCATTTCTTGCGTGGTAAAGTACTGAACCTTCTGAAATCTTAGGTGTTATGGGGTTTAAAGACTTATAATTTATTAATAAATTTGTCACTCGTTTATTTGAAATAATCACATTTTCTTGCTCTTTAATAATAAATCCATAATTTCCATCAACCGTTGAAAATACACATTCAAGGGAAGAAATATTGTTTAGAAGGGAAAAAGAACCATTTCGGGGATCATTTAGATGCCTAATATATTTATAATTGGGGTTTTAAGTTACTTTGATCCGACACGAAATGGAATTTTACGCAAAGAAACACTTACGGCAAGTCATATGTAATCCAATGAACTAATGTATTGTTGGCTTTGTTATAAATTAAGAAGGATGACAATTGCGTATTCATGACAAAGTCTAACGTTGCTTTCTCATCGGTAGGCCCGCTTGCTACAAAAAGTTTACTATTCAAAAGTATAAATAGCAAATTTATGAAAATTTATTTAAAGTTTTAAAGATAATAACAATTTGACACAAACTCTTTTATGATTGTGTTGTTGTTATATATAATTCTTCCAGTGACTTGTATGTCGCCATTAATTTTCAGATCATAAAGCAGAAAGTAATATTCCGTAGTTAAAGGAAATATACGCGTAACATTTATATCATTATCTAGTTTGATATCTATTGTAGACGCGTCTGGTAATAGTACATGAATGAAGTTGTACAAATCGTCGTTCTTGAACATAATTAAGAGACTGCCATCATTAGTTGATCGCACATCGAAGCTGTCATAGACGTCTAATCGATCAATAAAATCATGTCTGCTACTTGAATATAATAACGTAGAATTCAATTGTCCATAAACACCGAAATTAAATAAGAATACAAGAATGAAACAAACAAGAACCCAATATAATGCAAGGTTTTTTAAGGCTTTAACTAAATCATTTTGTTGAAGTTCCATTTTACATATAAAACTATTTGTTGAAATGTGATGAAATGCGTACTAAATAGAAATATAAGCTTATTTATAAATTCTATCCTAATAAAGATCCAAATTTATCATGAATTACGAAGTGTCCTACTATTTTTAAATTTCATAATGCTAAATATAGAGTGTAATAATTTATTTTTAATTATGCGAAAATTTTACGGGTGGTTAAACACTTTAGTGTAAAAAACATACTCATTTAAATTCCCATTTTCTATAATCTTTTTGTTATAACAACAGATAACAAATATAACAGTTCATTTTAAGTTGTCTGAGATCATCCTAAGTTGCCTTCAATAATTCCATAAACAAAAGAGGATGCTGTAGGAGATATATATCCTTTGGTTCTTTCGCAATAAATTGTTATTTATGATTTGTAAACATATTATGCCTTTAAAAATGAGATCCAATCTATGCAATTCCTATTACAATCGATACTAAACTCATGTATCGTGCAAGCTCTTCCGAAATCGATAGTATTATGAAAAATAAAAATAGCATTTATTCTTTATTGTCGTACATACGTACGTACAACATGAAACTTTTGTATAAGTTTGCAAATCATTTCTATATTACTGAGTCTTGTCTAAGTTACTGCATTGCGGCTAATTTATAAATTTATAATAATGATTTTTGAACTGAAATATTTACTAATCCCGAGTGAGGGTGTGTCATTATAATAAATTATTTCTATGTCTAATAAGATATGTCAAAGGTGGTTAGACGCGTTATCAAACAAGATCAGTGACTAAAATTCAAATCGGGACCAAATAATCAGATTTGGTGACCTAATTTTAACTTAATTTCGTAAATTCGCCGTGATACATGCATTGTTTTATGACCAGATTTATTAAGTATATTTATAACGGTAATGGTAATTTTTTGGCATCAGGAAATAAGATAGCTGCACGACGTCATCGCGCAAAACCAGGAACGGAGACATAAAAAAAAAAAACAGCTAATTATTAGCTGATTGGCTAGACAAAATCATATATGGAGTTTGTGTCTAAGTACTTTACCCTTCAACAAATTACTTTTTTAAATTTAGTCGGCCAATATGTATATTGGATTCCATATTAATATGGATTCTTACAACAAACCACAACCGCTGTTCACATGACGCAATACCCACTCAAAAGGTTTTACAATATAGATATTATTAGGAATTACGTATATCATAGTTCTAAATTAAGCAGTTATTGTAAACTTCTGTATGTGCGTTGTGAAGGGCTCGGCCCGACCCGGCAACACAGTTCTTTTTTTTCTCTTTTCTTTTTTTGTATTGTTTATTTGCCTTAATAAGAGATGGACACTGCGCAGGCATTTTTTTGAGACTGTGCAGTGCAATTTTCATCATTCAGGCCAGCTGGCATAATTCTGGTCAACTTTATAATTCATGCTTGAATTATCCAATCGGAAATCGTTCAGCATAGGCTCTAATGAAAAACAATAAACACGACGGATCTATTTGACCACATTTAAAGTTGTTTTGTTCTAGATCTGGCCAAATGGTCTGTAAATTTGACCGGAATTATTGACGATGAGTTCATGATGCAAACGGTGGTTAAATCAACCACCCAAAAAATTTTCAGATGATGTGTATATATTATAATAATAGTTATATTTATTATTATTTAAAAAAAGAAGACCAATGTAATTTTTTATAGAAGGTTTTTATTATAATTTTTTCTTCAAAACTAATCTTACAAGTGCTAATATTTAAATTTACAAAGTGTGATTGTAAAGTACTTAAAAAAATTTTTTTTTTTGAAAGCAAAAAATTTTCACTAATAGAATTATTAAATTTTTAATGTTTTAAAAAAAATAATTCGAATGTTTTAAAATAATTTGAATAGTTTGTTTGTAAAAAGTTAATAATCAAATATAAATAAAATAGATAAATCCTATTTTACTGTTATTTTTACAGCTAGAATATATTATGATTTTAATTTTTCCAAGTTTTTGGAAATTGTTTTTGTCTTTTAAATTGGTTACAATCTTCTACAGTTTATATATTGGTTTGAAGTTTTTGTCAATATCATCAAGCCATTTATTACTATTCAGATTTAATGTATTTTCTTCAAAAATTTCTTTTGTTGAGTCAAGTAATTCATCGATTTCTCACTTTTAATTTTGAAACAAATTATATTTTGATTAGCAAAATTACTTTTCTTTGAATCAATATAATCCTGTTTTTAAGTTTGATATACTGATATTTCTTGAATTTGATAATTTGATATTTCTTGAATTTGATATTCAGATATTTTTTAAGTTTGATGTTCAGATGTTTCTTGAGTTTGATATTTAGAATTTTCTTGATAATTAAATTTCCTATTATCTATAATTAATTTACAGATTTCAGAATTAAGGATTTCAGCTTCAATATAAAGATTTTTTGGTAAATCAGAAAAAGAATTTTTATCTTTAATTTCCAATAATAAATATAATTCTTGGTACATAATCTTAATTAATACAATATTATTATTATTATTATTAAAATTTAGATTAAAAAATTAATAACAATTTTATTAAATCATATTAGTAATACTCAATTATGTCAACTAACTTTTTTAAAAAAACTAGATTCTATAAGATTATGCATTTGTACTAAATACTTATAAATATAAAATTAATTTAAAAAAAAATCTGAATATATACATATCCAGCATAAAAGATTAGTAATATAATTAGAGTTATTCTTTATTGTCTTAGTTGATAATTTTTTTTATTCAGTTTAAAAGTCTTCATACCATTTTGCTATACATCATTTATTATATAGTAATTGTAATCAATCAATTTGACATAAAATAACCTTAGTGATAATAATATAAGTAATTAAATATAAGTGTACATGATTATAATTTAACAATAAATCATATTTTAACATCTGCCAATGGTTTTTAATTGTTATAATATTTTGTAGAATACTAATTTTTGAATTTGATAAATGTGACCACATATTTCACATTTCAAAATAATACTATTCATTCTATATAATACCCATATATTCAAAAGATTATTTTTACAATAATAATTAAATTACTCTTTAACACATATATACCAAATTTGTTTTGCATTCAAAAAATTTACACCTTTAATTGGAATCATTGGATGTTTTGAAAAGTGCTTGCAAACTCTTTTAAAAATAACCTTACAAAAATTTTTTTGATAAAAAGTCTTATTTTTATTATTATTATTAAATAATTGCTTGTAACTTGTATTATCTGCAAATTTATGATTTTGATAAAGTAGTTGCCAATTGGGATCAATAATCAAACAAAGAAAATGTGCCATATATGCATTATAATATTTATATACAATCCCTATACTAGCTAATTTCTTTTTAATAGCATGTATTGTATGCTAATAACATAATTAAATTTTATATTAGTCCAAGTATTGTTAATAGCTATGATCTGTTTATGATCTTTATCAGTTAGAATTGTTTCAACTTCATACATTCCATTTTCCTTTAAATAATATAACTATTTGATTATTGCATTTGTTTTATCATGCAAATGCTTTGGTTCAAGAAAAAAGTAAGACAATAGAAATCCTGAACTATCAATAATACTGATAGCAACATATAATTTAAACTTTAATCTATTGGTTTCATATATAGCATCTATAACAATTGTTTTAATAATATGATCAGGTAATATAAATAATAATAATGTAGTAAAAGCTAATGAATATTCATCTTGATAAAAAAAACAAAAATTTGAATAACTTTTTAAATATTGTTAAGTAGATTCTAACTGATTATTTGATAATATATATTTTTTGTAGACATTTTTTTAGAATAGTAATATACTTGATGTCAAGTTAAATATAAAAAATCATCAATTTTTATTTTTTAATATTTTTATATAGCTGCAAAATTGTTAATAAAATTTTTTCATTATATAATCATGGATTTATATAGTAACATCTAATGCTTCAAATAGTAAATAAATAAAATAATAAATATTAACTATAACTAAATTATTCATTTGACTAATATTAATTTGAATAGTGCCATTACAATTATAATGCTGAATTCTAATTGTTAAATCATATTGATTAGTTCATGGTTTCTTATTTTTTAATTTATTATAATTATTACAATAATAGATAAATGCAATTGAATTATTCATTTGTTCACTTTATAAAAGATTCATGAAAAATGATCAGTCTTGAAAATATGATTAATTAAATGTTAGACAACTTCTTTATATAAGTATTTCAAGTAAGTAATCAACAAGTTTTCTAGATACTATTATGATTTTTTGATTTTTTGTTATATTTTTTTTTTGGTTATTTTTTAATTTGAGATTGAAGATATTTTTGCTTAACAATCATGACAAGTTTTTAATTTATTGAATTTCTTGGTATTGGCTCTTTGTGCTTTTAAAAGCCTCTTTATGCTTCTTAACATAACAACAACTATACTCTTTTATGATTCAAAAATATATTATTTCTATATCAATAAAATTTTATATTAAAGAAAATTATTTTCAATATTATTAATTATATGAATCATATCATCTGAAAATTTTTTGGATGGTGATTTAACCACTATTCATGATGCAAATCTGTGAAAAGCTGCAAAAAAAAGACTTTTAAAATAACCTTAGAGCACTAATTAAACATGATAAAAGCTTAACTTTATATATATAAAATAGATGTTTTATATATATAAACATGAAACCTAATGAGCAAAAGTCTAAGAATTGAGGCCATGTAAGCTGCATATTAGATTCAAAAAAATTTCACCTCTAGTTTTATTATTATTCTTTTTAGTATTGAACAAATTTTATATACTTATCTCTATTCTTAATTGTTATTCTTTTTTAGTAAAAATGAAAATTTTGTAGTATGTTATAATTAATTAAGAGTCTGTATTAGTTTAATGACAATCAACTCACTAATATAACACTTTACTGATAATTAATTTATTAACATACTTGTATTACAGATAATTAATTTATTAA